AGCTACAGCTCCTGGTAACTTTTTAGCAAGGTTGCTGCAATGTTCCTATCTACTACTATATATATATATATATATAATTTATTTCCTAAACAGTATTGATTAATTGATTATATTATCTCCTAAGTTTAATTAAAGTAAAATTATTTTAAAAGTGTGCATCCATACTGGTAAGTTATATTTTGAAAGATGTTTTGAAGTAATTTGAAAGCAAAATGTTAATAATCTTTTAACGGGGACTGGAGTTAAATCATCACGAAGAATAATATTACAATTGTAAAAGTAAAAATTAAAACATGTAATTATTGTCATTGATCGGAAATTAGTTGACTTTTCAAGGGGAACAAACCAACTCCCGTTCAATGATCAATAATTGATAAAAATACGTAAATATGAAAGTGTTTCGTCTTTACTCGAGTTATAAGTTAAAGCCAAACCGGCAATTCTAGTCAGGCCAAATATTTCCGCGAATATTATGTTGTTACTCAAAGAACTTATTCTCATGAAGCATTTTAGTCAATTCAATTTGGAGTAAAAATCAATTACTGTAGAGAAATCCTGTAAACTCGAGTAATCGTCCCCGACACTATCATCTTTATGTATTTGAGTACTATATTATTTGTAGAAATTAAACATTGGAAATTGTCATTATGAAATCGAAATCAAAGTAAATTTGAAATAAACATAGAAGATTATAAAAAAGGTAAATAATGCAAATTTTGTAAAAACAAATCAAAGAGAACATAAAAATAATATAAAAATAATATAAAAATAAAATAGAAAATAATATAAATAAGATCAGTGAATGTACATGAAGATATAAAGGCCAGAAAGGTATTAAGTAACTTACATTCTTTCTAGTGGGGGAGTTGGCAATGTGTTCTCTTCGTGTCTGACTTCGTGAAGTGTAGGGTGTCCGAAAATTCTTAGCGGCAGTAGGGGCTTTGAATTATATCAGTCGGTAAGACTTGGGTGAAGAAATTTAAGGTAGTGGGTGGGACTTGGAATTCTTGAGGGATGTATTTTGTGGAGTTCTTATCTGAGAGAGACCGTCTGTTAAGATTTTTTTTAAAATACTAGTGAATGGAAATTAATTAATTTCTGGCTAATTGTCGTGTCGCAATGATTAAGAATTAGCCAGAAATTAATTAATTTCCATTCACTAGTATTTTTAAAAAAATCTTAACAGACGGTCTCTCTCAGATAAGAACTCCACAAAATACATCCCTCAAGAATTCCAAGTCCCACCCACTACCTTAAATTTCTTCACCCAAGTCTTACCGACTGATATAATTCAAAGCCCCTACTGCCGCTAAGAATTTTCGGACACCCTACACTTCACGAAGTCAGACACGAAGAGAACACATTGCCAACTCCCCCACTAGAAAGAATGTAAGTTACTTAATACCTTTCTGGCCTTTATATCTTCATGTACATTCACTGATCTTATTTATATTATTTTCTATTTTATTTTTATATTATTTTTATATTATTTTTATGTTCTCTTTGATTTGTTTTTACAAAATTTGCATTATTTATCTTTTTTATAATCTTCTATGTTTATTTCAACTTTACTTTGATTTCGATTTCATAATGACAATTTCCAATGTTTAATTTCTACAAATAATATAGTACTCAAATACATAAAGATGATAGTGTCGGGGACGATTACTCGAGTTTTACAGGATTTCTCTACAGTAATTGATTTTTACTCCAAATTGAATTGACTAAAATGCTTCATGAGAATAAGTTCTTTGAGTAACAACTATTCGCGGAAATATTTGGCCTGACTAGAATTGCCGGTTTGGCTTTAACTTATAACTCGAGTAAAGACGAAACACTTTCATATTTACGTATTTTTATCAATTATTGATCATTGAACGGGAGTTGGTTTGTTCCCCTTGAAAAGTCAACTAATTTCCGATCAATGACAATAATTACATGTTTTAATTTTTACTTTTACAATTGTAATATTATTCTTCGTGATGATTTAACTCCAGTCCCCGTTAAAACATTATTAACATTTTGCTTTCAAATTACTTCAAAACATCATTCAAAATATAACTTACCAGTATGGATGCACACTTTTAAAATAATTCTACTTTAATTAAACTTAGGAGATAATATAATCAATTAATCAATACTGTTTAGGAAATAAATTATTATTAACTAACTTTGCAGCAATTGCGCAAGTAATAATAACTTGTATTCGCACTAAATGGATTTAAGTTCATACAACATTATATATATATATACATATATATATATATATACATAGCGTTCTTACTGTTTGTGCTCCACATGTAGAGACATTAGACTAGTTTGGGAACAGAGCATGAGAAACATGAGCAACGCCTTTGCCGGGATTCAAACCACGGGCCTTTCGAATACTCGCCGAGCGTGCTGACCTCTACCCTACGCATGCATGCTAAGAAGGCGGGAGAAATACCCTGTACTTCCGCTTTTAAAGGGCGATTTGGGAATTGGGGAACCAATCACCAAATTCTGGTGATGGTAACCATCATTCACCACCCTTTTAGATCGGGCGCCACTGTAGAGACGTTAAAATTTTTTTGAATAAGGAATTTGAAGAAATGTGCAATACCCTAGCCGGGACTCGAACCACGGACCAGTCGAATACTCGTCGAGCATGCTGGCCACTACACCACGAAGGCTTGCGAAGACGGTGGGAGAAATACCTTATACACGTACAAAATAGTCATACAATTCCCACCGCCATTTCAAATTTTTTAAAAAATTCTTTCCATAAATTTCGAAATCATCGGACGATACATCTGAAATTCAGTTTGCATTCAGTGATGAGCAATCTCCGTCTAACTCTTCTTTCGAGATTTGTCGTTTATGGATCTCCGGCATACATTCTATATTTCATTTGGAAACTACAGCATTTTACATATTCTTCCGTAATAGGTCTACATAAATAATGATCTACAAACCAGAATAAGCAAAAACAGCGTTTCGGTTGCGGTTTCGAAATACCAGGACCAAAATGGCGGAAAAGAAATTTCACGGGCAAAACGTTATCCATTTGAAACGAGAAAACTCCATAATTGATCAGTCCACATATCTAAGTATTCTATGTAGTTATTGCAAGATTTTAGGAAGCATTTTGTATATGCTTATACTCTTCTTCCAAACCACCATCCTTCCTTCTTGCATTAGAAATTTAGTGTCTGTTTTTGAAAAAAAATTGATAGTCTCAATTTACGAATATTTACTTTGATATTGAAAATTCCTTTCTGTATATTAATTTAATACTTATAAACGAGGTAATACCCGGAAAGAGGAGACGTTAATAATTGTGTGCAGTCAACTTTCGATTTTACTTTGGTAATAGCAGGTACCGTAAGCACGATAATCCAACATCACTCTTCATGCGAAGGCAATTAAAAACTCTAGAAAAAAGAATACGCTATACTAATTAACAGGAAGCACTATTCAACTTTACTTGTTTTTCCAGCACTTAGACCTCGAAAGTAAGATTGTTTGGTGACGTGCATTAAACCACAATTAAAACTAACGAACGCACTTGTAAATAACGGAAAAATGAAGAAATGAAGTTAAAATGGAACTAAAGAACTATATGTACAGTGCCATCGACTTTAAACTCATCTAAAATATTTGCATGGAAATTTTAGACTTTTATCATGTGTTTACATATTCCAGATTACATATGACTAGATTGTGTACTCTTGTGGACAAAAAAAATTGCCAAATACTATGCCAGTATCTAGCATTGCTGCTACTCCATGCATTTTCCCCTTTTCATGCCTTCTGTACGTACACTGCGCCCCCACCCAGAAAAAAAAAAAAAAAAGAAAAGACAGCTCAGTATCTCCCATTCTACTGGACCGAATGACGAAATTCAAACTGCGTTTTCATGTCTCGAAAGCGACTTAGGATATATAGTAGATTTATATACAACATTGTTCTAACATAGGTATTTTGACACAAAATGGGACTTTTTCTGAAATAACTTACCAATTGTTTTCCATATTTCGATTCTATGACACAAATTATGCCTACATATTAAATTTTGTAAAACTTGGAGCGAAATTTACGGAGAAATTCCCAAATATATCTTGGAGTCTTTTTTTCAAGAATAATTTACTTGGCAAACTTCTTAATATATAGTAACCAATTTTCCTTTCCCTTTCATAATGCCGGAGCGGAAAAAAGGCTCCTCGTTCTTACCTTTCTACGTTGTGCATGAGCGGAAAAAAGTCCCATCGTTCATACTTTCAAATAATTTTAGCAAAGTGTCTAAACCACATTTGATGTTTTATCGCTTTCAACAAATATGCCAAATTTCAAAACGCGCCAATACAGATATTCACGTATATCTTCGGAAATTTTAAATAAAAATTTAAATTTTTTGCAGGTATGCTTAGAAATACATCTACTTTAATATGATGGTAAAAATATTATAGATTATAATTCAAAATGTTTTTCAAAAAATTTATAAAAATTATTTAAAAATACAAATTTTAAAAATAGATCACAAAATGTGGGCGAATATTATTTGGAATGAGCCTAAATTTCGAAATGTGAAAGAAAGAATTAAATAAATTTAAAAAAAAAACAGAGATATTAATAAATATATACCAAACTCAATTAACACTGAGGAGTTAAAATTTGAGAGCTAATCTTTTTCAAAACTACTCTTGCGATTTTTATGAAATCGGCAGTTTGGCGGAATTTGAGTGGTAGAATTGAAATATGGAAAACAATTGGCATGTCACTTCAAAAAAAGTCCGATTTTGTGTCAAAATACCTATATTAGAACAATGCTATATATAAATCTAATTCATATCCAAAGTCGAGCTTTCGAGACATGAAAAACGCAAGTTGAATTTCCTCAATCGGCCCAGTAGAACGGGAGATATAGAACTAACTCATTCGTTTTTTTTTTTTTTTTTTTTTTTTTTCACAGTGTACTTTTAGTTTAATCTGATGGTTGTGATAATAAGATAATAATTCTCTCATTAGTCTTCAATAAGCAAAATTAACCCTTAATCTTATTGTGCACACACACACATCTCTCTCTCTCTATATATATATACATACATAATGTATAAAATATAATTATTTGCATTAGTAACTACGAATTATCAAACAACTAGTAGTGCTAAATCAAGTAATAATAATTTGCAGAACAAGTTAGTAATTTGATAGCAGTTAAGATAAGACACCTACTCACCTGTGCAAACACAATGGGAATGGCCGTAATGAAGGACAGGAACCATATGATGAGAATAACTCGCCGTGCTTGGCTCATTGTGCACTGGTAACGAGACTTCACTGGATGCATGATGGCGTAATATCTGTAAACAGAGGTAATTATTCATAAGTGGAAAGAGAAATGCAACATAACGTCAAGCAGAGATATTTCCCAGACGTGAATAAATGAAGCCATGAAACAAATTTTCTACATAGATGGAACAAAAATACATGATGGAACAGAGCCGAATTCAGAATTTGATTTAAAATACCACGTTGAGTAAAGGTTATTTGAGGAATAAAACAACAAGAATCAACATACTATTCATAAATTTGCAGGACTAGTTTCCAAACGTTAAATATAGAGCCTCCTTCATCAGTTGCAGAAGTGCAAATGACAAAAGAGAAGAAGATAAGAATGAGAGGAAACCATGACCTCATTGTTTTTTTTATTTTCCTCTTTCTTTCCATATATTACTTTAGATTTATATCTCTTTGTTTAGGTTTTCGAAAACATAATTTTTGTTTTAATTTATATTTCGAAAACATAATGTATTAATCTTCACGAAATTAAGACTGGGGTTTTATTAAATGTAAAATCCTTGCTTTATATGTGTGCTGCTGAATTATTGTCTGGCTCGCTATTCTTAAAGCTATTTCAGTGCATTTTTAAAGTAATTTTTGTAGTATTCAAGTTAAAATCAAGATCGAGAGATACCTTCGTAGAAAACTTTTAATGGAAACTGACTCATTTTCATATTACACGAAAATACCCGTTCAATAAATCAATTTTTCTGAATTCAAACTCGGATCAAATTACTTGTGTTCAGCGGTCGTACCGCTCAGCCACAGACGAGCGTAAGAAAATGTAAATGCTTGAAACTTTATCTTATAGTAGAATTTCATTTATTTCTCATATTTGTATTATATAAAATAATATTCATTAGAAAATATTATTAAGAAATGCAAATAAAATTGCCTTGTTAATAGTGCTTTTTGTTACCGTGATGTGAAAGGCACTTATATATAAATACATATTATATAAATATAGAGTTATATATCAGCATTATTGGTATAAAAATATACTCCGATATTTTAAAATAATTATCGAGGATTAATAATAGGTATTACTCATCGTGAATTGGCAAAAATGTGCTCCTGGTTTTTAGCTTTATTTTCAACAACAAATTTTTTATCGCTAACTGAAAGCAATTACACGTCTTCGAGATATTAAAAAAAAGCAGTTTTTAACCCTTTCCGGCACGCTACCTTTTAAAGTTGGAATTTTGATAAAGAAAAAAGGTAGGCAGTCTAATTAGGCCTAGAGAAGTACACAAGTAAAATTTTGTGAAGATAGCACTTTTAATTCTGTGGTTGTGCCCAAAGTGGGCACACTGATTGAATAGATCTTCAAAAAGAGCGCTGAAATGAGCATTGTTGTCAATGAAATGACCAATGAGATGCGGAGAAACAAAGAATACAGTTATCCTAGATTATCGGTGAGCCCGGTCTGGGCACACCTAGAGTTCGCCATTTGATTTTAGGCAAGATTTCAAGGTAAAAATTTAAAACTAATATATAATAAGGAGATTAGCATACAACCAAAAATAAAATAGAAATTTCTTTTCAAACAATTCCTTTTATACCCTAAAAAAATCTGGAAAATTTCTTTGAAAAATGAGGGTCTTAAACAACTAAACATGGCTAAAATATATGGACTGGTTTGTGTTGAGCTACCATCTACTATAAATAAAGAAGGTTCAGAGTAACCTATAGTAACCTATGAATCATTTTTCATTCAATTTTTCTATGCGTAAAGAAGGAAAGTTTTAGGTGTGTCTAGACCGGACACACTGTGCAGCAAAAGGTTAAGGAAATTGGAAACTGAAAAAGGAATAGTTTTTATTTTTCTATTCTCCTCCTACATTTTACAATGTTTTTCCTTCCTAGTTCCAATGTGACACAAACATTTCAAACTAAACTTATTATATTATTAACTATATTATTAAACTACATTAAACTGCATAACAAGTGTATAAAATTAAAAAATGGGATGTGCACACCACATGACTTCCTTATACGGAATATTAAATTATACACATTTATTCTTGCATTTTATTTACACTTATTAGATTGAATTAAACCTACTTCGCCGACAGCGCATAAACCACAATGGAATAAATGCATTCTTTAAAATTCACTTTGTTTACCATAGCGACAGTCTGGCGCTAGGTTTACTTAACAGTATAATATTTAGTTTACATTATAACTCAGAATGCACACAATTTATATCATTTAAAGAATTATCTAATCGTTGCCACGTGTTCTATTCAAATACTATAACAAAGCTAGAACTATGTATAAAAGAAATTAAGCAAACAAAACAAAAAAGAAACAATTTTTCACAGACGATTGAGTATTTCTCATTCAATTTTCACTTCGCGACAAGGCAAAAATACATAAAAACTCAAAATATCTGCATTAAAAATTACGAAGTAAATCTTAAACGCTTATTTCCTCGAAAAAATTCCAGAAAGGATTAAGCATGATTTAAATAATAAATGAAGGCGTTATCTTTGTTGTTGCGAAGCTAAGTTTCTCTAGATTGGCAACAAATCCGCTACTCAGCTGTTTCAAATGTAAATAAGAGCAATGGCCGCCATCAAAATAGGCTTAGCGGTACTTAAACAATTTTAAAATTGTTGATAATTCTAAAAATATTGCATACAGATTTACTAAAGGCATACATCCCTTAACCGGAAGATAAAAACAACATAATTCAATCATTTTTAAAGCAAAAAATGTACAATTTACAAACATATAAGAGTAAAGAAACTGAGATCACTGAGCCGGGTAAAAGAGTGGATATATTTATAAATATATTTATATACGTTTGGCGCGGCCGATTGAAACCAAAATACGAGGTGCACATCTACATGTTATAGTTATCTTATATACAAAATTTCAACGTTCTGAGGCTACTCGTTTTTGAGTTATTCGAGATACGTACGTACGCACGTACGTTTTTGCGTTATATCTGGAAGTAAGGACAGAATAAAAGACTCTTTTCCTCAAAAAAAAAAAAAAAAAAAAAAAAACCCTAAAAAAACTGCTTTAAAATGAATTCTGAAGAGAATTTTTCGTGGTGTCTGTACGAACGTATGTACGTACGTACGTTCGTACGCACGTGCGTGCATACGTTCGAACAGACACCACGAAAAATTCTCCAGAATTCATTTTAAAGCAGTTTTTTTAGTTTTTTTGGAGGAAAAGAGTCTTTTATTCTGTGCTTACGTACAGATATCACGCAAAAACATTGTTAAATTGCATTCGAAAGCGGTCAAAGTAGATATTTTCGTTTAAATATGCTGCCTGAAGCTTTTCGCGATTACAATACTTCCTTTTTACTTCGTACAAGGAAGTACAAAAATGAGCGTATATTCATTTTTCTCATACAGCATTTAAATTAAATAATGCATGTAAATTTGTTTAAAAACATTATGTTATATAAATTGGATTAATTTAAATATTACATACATTGGATAACCTTGCAACTTGGATTATCATATAAATCATGTTAAAATTTTTATATTCGCAATTTTTAGTCCGAAATGACTAAAGCTTTATTGTTTGATCGGAATGTTTAGTTGTGATCAGTAGAATTGATCTTGGATAATTGGGTCACCGATTATTATAGCTTTGGATAAATGGGGCATTTGAATAAAAACACACGTTGGAAATAAATAAAATAAGCGAGCAGATCGCTGCCATAGAATGCAGCTTGCTACGTCTAAGTTTATTTACAACATCTGCCCTTTCCTCACTGTCACCTCAAAAGTGTCATCAATAGTATTTGACGAAGCGAAAAGGCAAGAAGAATTGGAACATGCACCACATGTCCTTCATTCTCTATTCTTTTTCAAAGACAGCAATACAGATGTACAGCTAGCGCGCTATATTACAGGTCATGGCCCATTTCCAGTCTATTTTCAAAAATGATGCTTAAGCATATAAGATTTACCCTAAGTTTTTAATACGAGTAGTTATCTTTAGTTACAGCTACTTTTCTGTCCCTCCTAATTTCAGCTTACAATTTCCTACTAGAATGTGTTTTTAGAACCGCAGTTAATGCAAGTGAGCGGCATTTAAGTCGAAGTTCCACTGACTTCGTTAGAGAGCCAGAGATTCTGACTAGCGCGCGTTCGCCTTTTGGCTACACTCTCTCTAAGCTATTACTACTTTCGGCCGTATTTCAGGGCCCTTGATAGTTTCGCCAGCTTAGTTGATATTTAGGGGCCAACTACTTAGAAGTATTTATATCTATATTCGGCTATATCACTTAAGCTTTAGTTAAGTTTTACCTCTTATTACTTTCAGTTCAAGCCTAAGTGGAGGTTAAGAGGAGGAGCCTAAGTGAAGGAGCTATCTGTTAATTTCTTATTTTGAGAAATAAAGGGTAATTAACTCTTTCTGAGCTTTACTTACCTGTTTCTGAACTAAAGCGATTATTCGCTTAAGTGTCCACGAAGTTCCTACACACTTAGCTGTTTTTATCTAACAGGGACCACACAAGCAATACGGATCACTGCATCTGAGGTATGACGGTAACTCCTGGACATTAGCTGATGAGCTGTCCACTGACATACAGCCAACACCTCAGGTTTCCGGACAATACACACACAACCGGACATTCCGGAAAATATGACACAAGTCAGCACCAACGGTATATAATCGAACAAAAGGCATTCATAAAAAAAAATTCAAGGTTATTCTGGATATCCTGGCAGCACACGGCTGGATCTGTGTGATGGGACTTAATTTCTTCTTTTTGGCAGACGAACAGCACATCCCCACTGCAATATGTTTTAACAGCACTACTAAAACTCTTTTGCATTCCTTGCCAAAGTGTAACTGTTACCTGTATCCTTCTTACCAATTAAATGCGTTTAATATATTACTTAAATAGCTTAATGTTAATTGGGTACGTAGTAATATTTAATAAATGCATGATATTGTTACAGTTTTTGTATTTATTTAGCTATTTTAATAGAATTGGTAATTTAAACTGTTTTATATTCCAGTGCAATACAGCACGAGACTTATT